TATATATATATATTATGTATAATCTATATATGTAGTCTAGATTATAGAATGTGGTGTGTGTGTGTGTGTGTATATATACACACACACACACACACACACACACCACATTCTCTACAAAGGATTATGATTAATTCAATCTGCGAAGCGTACGAATCTCGATTTGAAGTCGAGTTTAAGAAGATATTGAATTGTAAAATCTGCGTTAAATTTTTATCACACTGAAGATGATCTAATGTAAAATCGTCTGTACGTATTATATGTTTCTTTATTGTACGATAAACATATAAATATTGTACAGCACATCAAGCGTGGTTTCTTTTTTATATATTGATTATTTGAATTTTATTCATTGGAGCCTAACACATTACTTGTATTTGTTAAACTTAAATAAAGAACTTATTTATTTCTGACAACTTAAATAAAGAACTTATTTATTTTCGAAACGATATTAATCATTGAATAGACAACTACATATGATATATACATACAGATATAAAATTTATTTTGCAACTAGGTATATACGTAACCACACATCTTGTCAGAGGAATCCTTACTTCTTTGAATATTCCGATCGATATATTCTGCGCAGAAATTATCTTATGCCTTGATAAGTACCTTTCACATTCACCTTTTAAACATGACGCAAAATTGCTATCAAAGGTTTCTATCATACATAGTATTTTTCTTTATTACTCCTGCTAAAATATTAATTCGTTCTTCGAAGATAACGAAGATAAGATGAGAAGTTTAATCAATTGCGTATTGTCTAGGTAGAACCTTGCTTTGAAAATTATGGCATTGGTGTGGAAAGATTACTACAGTATTACAAAATGGTTATTGTTATTCTGCGGCCAGTGGCCTTATCAGAAAAACCGAGCGAGGCTTTTTCAGTTGAGCACGGTGACTTTGGTCATTTTTTCGCTGATTTTTCCACAGGTTCCTTATAAAATTTTAATTATAATACGCAGTATATGTAACGTATCTATCTATATTAAACTTGCCTAAACGACATATAATTCAATAAAATTCAGGACAGAATTCTTTTTATCATTTTATGAAATCATTGTATAAAAAATGTATTTTAAAACGCTTATCGAAATATAAAATTAAAAATAGAATTTTATTCAAAACTGCATCGCAAATCATCTAAAGTGTGTTCTAGTAAGTATACTTCTAGGTGGCCCAAATTTTTTACTGCGATGGAAATGCGCGATGTATTCAACTGACCATACCAGTGCTTATGTTGATGGTTATGCTTCTGGTGAAACTATATACATGCCAGTTTAATAGTAGCAAAGTATGCCAATACCGAAATTTATGTTTGGTCAGAAAATATTTATTCAAATTTTCATTAGCCTTTGCGATCGTAGTCTTCTACGATCGTCGGACTCTCCCATAAGATTTTACATTCATTGAAGATGTTTTTAGATCAAAAGTCTCACTGACTTTGTGTGTGATGATTGGGAGAAGTTGAATAGCGCGGAGGAATATGAAATTATGAAAAAATATGCCACGAATGCAAGATTGATCTCTTTCGCATATATCTGTAAGAATAAATCATTCAATATTATTTTTATTTTAATGAATGATGGACGATTATTTCGTTTTGTTGCAGTATATATGTACTCGTGCAGCAGTGCGTCTATATTATTTTCCCTTGTACCCAAATTGTTGAACATCGTATTACCCCTCAACGAATCCCGACCTATAACTATGCCTTTCGATGTTTATTATTTCGTGGACGAAGAGAAATATTATTTCTACATTATATTTCATATATATATGAGCATAATTATATCTTTTACGACGGCAACCGCACACGATTGCACGTTTTTTATTTATATTGAGCATGTCTGCAGCCTTTTTGCTGTGACTGAGTAAGGAAAACAATTTTTTTTAAATTGTTTCTCTCACGACTCATTGAGAGTTCGAAACTGTCCCTTAAATGTTCACAGATTTCGTCTTGAAACTTTATCACATAGGGATCGCAACGACGCGAATAATCTTTCGTATAATCGGAAAATCATTGTCTTCATCCATGCACACTGGCGAGCTTTACGGTAAGTGCACAATATTGTATTATGTAGAATATGTACTACAGATTTAAAGAAAAAATGATCAAAAATTGTACTGATATAAGTTTCACAAAATTTGTTTCCATTGGACAGTTTCGCGAAAATTCTTGAAGACATCTTTTGCACTGCTTTCGCAGTACAAATGTTGATAGTTGTTGTAACATTGAGCATTTCTCTGGTACAAGTACGTATATATCTATTTGTTGTAATTTAACTTGATATCCGCATATTTTGTGCGATGTTATTTGTCGTTCATATTGTATTACTTATAGTTATAATTAACAGCATTGTGCAACGTTTTTAAACGTTCTCATGTTTCTGACATATAATTCTGACCTTTCTCGTCGATTATGAAACTATATTTATTTAAATACTCTAGCTGTGTTACATGTTACAAGTTTTCGAGAAAACCAAGCGAAAAATAAAAAAATTATTTTTTATCACTTTCAAAGTTATTAAAAAAACGGAATGTCATAGAAATTCGATTATTATTGGAAATCATTTATCATATATTATAAAACAAAATCCTTGTTGTACAGTATGTTTACTGAAGCAAGAGATTAAAATATGGTATGTTCTTTTTTGCATTTAAGATTACGTTACTGTACGGCGACATTAATGCAATGTTGAGGTATCTAATGTATATCTTTGGTCAAGTATTACACACGTTTTGTTTCAGTCTACAAGGTCAGAGATTGATCAATCACAGCATACAATTGCACGACAAAATGTAAGATTTTAATAATTTAAATATAGTGAAATTGCAAATTTGCTGACGACTGATATACAAAGATGTTGTAGATACAATTCTTCCTGGTATGAAATACCTGCGGAATCACGAAAGCTGCTTTTGTTCGTAATGCAAATGTGCATAAAACCCCGTTTTTTGAGCGCCGGTAAGATTTATGTTTTCTGTTTGGAGAGCTTCACCATGGTAAAGATTATTTACGAAACTTATTACTTCTTGTTTCTTTGAAATTTTTCTTAAGAATATTGGCACTTATTTTGTCATCAGATACCAAAATTACTTATCCTTCTCTATATATCGGTCCATTAAGTTTCGGGCTGCTTTCTCCTTCACCTCTCTGTCAAATATTTTAATTCTCTTTCTGATTCAATAAAAATCTCTCCCTCTCTATCCTCCTTTCGTTCCGTTGTCTCGCGTTTCATTGTGTCATAGTATTTAAACGAGACTGATGTAATTGTATTTGCGAGTGTATGTGAGGGAGTTTGTGCGTGCGTGCGTGCGTGCGTGTGCGTGTGTGTGTGTGTGTGTGTGTGTGTGTGTGTGTGTGTGTGTGTGTGTGTGTGTGTGTGTGTGTGATTTTAGCTATTAGTTTATCTCTTATTGCATTATTGTCTTATTCTAATTTTGTTATTGGTAGGCTTTGTAATAGCAATTCTACTGATGCCTAACTATTTACAAATTACTATTGTCTATTTACTTATGTTTATGTTAATCTATATAGTCTATTGTATCATACTTTATGTCTATTACTCTGTTAACATGTATGTTTTTTCATATAGCTTTGCAATAAACTAAATTAAATTAATTAAATTATATTACAGGTTATGCAATCTTCGGTGTCGTATTTTACCGTACTTGTATCCTTCCAATGACCAATGGTCAATATATAATTTGGGTAGTATCTGTGCAATCACAATTATATTATAGTAGAAACTGCAATAAAAATAATATTTACATTATACTTATTAATTCGTATCAATTAAATACACTGTTAAAATATCTTTGTTTAATGTGTTGTTTTTCATGGAAGTTACAAATTATAAGAAGGTATAAACAAAAATGGAGAAATGAAAAATGGAGAAATGGGTAAGAAACGGTGTTTATTTAAAATATTGAAATAAATTCATTTTTTATTCGATTTTAAAGGAAAGATATTAGGTGGGAAGATATAGGCAAGATAATAGATTTTTAGTAATGGTCTGAATTATATATTTTGATCTAAAATAATACGTAGTAATGTCGATAGCATGAGTTGCAAAAATAAATGTATTCAAATTCTTACCAAATTCTAACCAATAAAATTCGATTTAATGTCAAGCCAAAGTCACGCATTATCGATACTGGCGGGCATGTCATGTGAGGTCACAGAAGCTAATCATGATAGTGATAATGAAGAGTATACAACCAAGTTCTTTAAGCACCTACAAGATCTATGTTTTCTGTCTGGTGAGCTTTTTATCATGGTATTACACATAGAATTAGCGTGTACTTGTTGTAGTTATGTTTCTTTATCGAAACATAATGCTCTTATTTTGAAGAAAGATTCGACAAATTTCGATGTCATACGGTGCTCGCGTACGTTTAGTAATCCGTTGTTTATGCATCTAATGATATTATCTGGTCACATTCGTCAAAAAAAACAATATCATATGTCTTTAATTCTTCTAATATAGATAAATTCCATTGTTTATCATTTCTTTATTGAAATTACACGTAACTTTGTTTTATGTATTTTGAATATTTGCGTAAAAAGTGACCATATAACAAACAATCTTTTCCAAAAAATGTTAGACACCTTATATTTTTTCATTTATCTAGAATTCTTTTTCTTATTCTACTCTATTATTTGTATTTTTATTATTACTTATTGGTTACCATTATACGTAAATTTAAAAGGATTTTAAATAAAGAATAGTTCACCGCGAATGCCATAAACCGAATTTTTAGCTAAATTTTTATACATATAATAATTAATAAAATATGTAATATTTTTTGTCAAGATGGTATATATTCTCAGCTGTCTGAGGATAAGTAGAATAAGTTTTCAGACAGTAAAAAGAAGACAATTCGAATAATAAATTATTACATTTTATTTTTCAAAATAGTCCTTCACATGACAACTTCTCGTTATAACACTTCAAAACTTTCTTTAAAGTCCATAGTTAGAATGTTATTCAAAATATTAGTTCCTCTGAATTCTCGTCATATTGAAAATGTTTACTTTTTTATTATGCTATTTTAAAAACATCAATCTGATAAAGTCAGATCTGGTAATAAGATAAACTTAACAATTATTTTCTATTGATGTAATTACTTTACTGAGGAAGATATTTTTAAGACTCGCGATTTTTTTGAATTTTCAAAACTGGCTTTTTCGGATTTCATTTTGTTCTCAAAGCTCATAATTATCTTAAAGAAAAATAATACTTCATTCAAGACTTCGAGAACATTCAGAAAAATGTGACAAGTTCTCTAAACAGTAGTTCCAACTGCGGAATTAAAAAAATGTTTTGTAGAATATTTATAACAAAGATGAAGAGTACTGATGCCATGGAAGACTACTTTGGAAGATAAAATATAATATAATATTCGGAGAGATCTGTATTATTTTATTGCCACAGTCCGAAAACTTTGTTGTAAGGCTATTTATACCTACATCGATTTTAGTGTCAATCTTTTCAGAGTCACAAACTGATGCCACTATTTGCGAAGTTAGTTATAATTTATATACATATAATTTATATACATATAATTTGAAATATTTCAAATATTATTTACTATATACAACCTTATGTAGTACTAATGTATTTTTATATAGAAAAATTTATAAAGAAGAAATTATCTTCGACACTTGTTTCGTAGCGATACTGAACATTGAATAACAATTGTATAGGCAACTAAGTACACGTAAATACATTTTGTCAAAAGAATTCTTATTTCCTTGAACATTTCGATCGACGTTTTGCGCGGAAGAAAATTACCCCCTCCGTTGATAAGTTACCTTTCACATTCACTTTTTATCAAGCGTGACACGCAAAATTGCTGTCAAGGGTTTCCATCGTACATAGTATTTCTTTCTATTACACCTGCTAAAATATTAATTCCTCATATCAAAGACGAGACAAGAAGTTTAGTCAATTGCGTGTTGCCAAAGGTAGAACGTTACTTCGAAAATTATGGCATTCGTGTGGAAAGATTATTATAGTATTACAAAAAGATTGTTGTTATTCTGCGGCCTGTGGCCTTATCAGGAAAAACGAACGAGGCTTTTTCGAGTGCATTCGTTGACTCTGATGATTTTTTTGCTGATTGCTCCGCAGGTTCATCATAAAATTTTTACAATTCATTGCACTAGATATAAACAGGTTGCATAAAAAAAAATTAATTGAAGTATGCAGTACATACGTAATGTATCTATATCTTTGTTACGCTCATTTTATAGGCAAAATATTACTCGACAAAATTAAGGATAGATTCTTTTTATTATTTTTAGTATTAACGAAAGGAATAAAAAATATATATTAAAATGTACGCGTATCAAAATAAATGGCAGATACAATTAAAAAGAATTTTATCAGATTTTATCTGCGAAACTACACTATAAATCGTTTAAAGTTACATCTAATAAGAATACTTCCAGGTGGCCCAATTTTTTCATTGCAATGGAAACGCGCGATGTATTAAACTGACTATACCGATGTTTATGTTGATGATTACATTTCTGGTGAAACTATACACATGTCAAATTAACATTAGCAAAGTATACCATTACCGAAATTTATATTAAATATTTGATCGAAAATTATTCAAATTTTTATTATCCTTTGCGATCGCGATCGTCTTCGATCGTTAAACTATCCGATATAATTCAACATTCATTGAAGATATTTTTAGATCAAAAGTCTTACTGACCATATATGTGATGATTGGGAGAAGTTGAATAGCGCAGAAGAATATGAAATTATGAAAAAGTATGCCACGAATGCAAAATTGATTACTTTCGCATATTTGAGTAAGGATAAATTGCTTCGTATTCTTTTTATTTTAACGAATGATGAACGATTATTTCGTTTTTGTTGCAGTATATGTTTTTTCTTGTTGCGGGGGATATACATTATTTTCCATTATTCCAAAATTATTGAACATCGTGTTACCCCTCAACGAATCCCGGCCTGTAAATTTGCCCTACCAGGCTTATTACTTCGTGGACAAAGATAAATATTATTTCTACATTATATTTTATGTTTGTGTGTTCGCGTCTGTAGCTACTATGATGGTAATCGCGCACGATTGCATTTTTTTTATTTACATTGAACATGTCTGCAGTCTCTTTGCTGTGACTGGGTAAGAAAAACTATTTTTTTTTACGTTGATTCTATCACGACTGATCAGGAGAGCGGAACTACTGCTTAAATATTTACAGATTTCATCTTGAAACTTTATCATTTAATAACCATAATGATACGAATAATCATCTAGATGATCGGAAGATCTACAATCGGAAAATCGCTATTTCTATTCATGCACACTGGCGAGCTTTACGGTGAGTACACAATATTGTATTAAATAGAATGTATATCATACATTTAAAGAAAAAGAGAGAGACAAGAAATTGTACCAAAAGTATCACAAAATTTGATTCCATTGGACAGATTCGCGGATATTCTTGATGACATCTTTTGTACTGCTTTCGCAATACAAATGTCGATAGTTACTGTAACATTGAGTATTACTCTGCTACAAGTACGTATCTACCTATTTGTTGTTGCAATTTAACTTGATATCTGCATATTTTGTGCAATGTTATTAGTCAGTCGTGTTGCATTACTCGCAGTTATATAATATGATTAACTGCATATGATTAATTGTGTAACATTTTTAAACTTTTTTCATGTTTCTTGATATATAATTCTGAGGTTTTTCTCATATATTATGAAATTGTATTTAAAATTTTCTAGCATATTTTCGAAGATAGCAGACTTTCGAAAATCGGACGAAAAATGAAAAAATTGTTTATTCGTTTAATTTTAATGATGCGACCTTGTGCTATATAATCAATCTTTCCCCCGAAATATAGAATATATATTTCGCGGGAATTATAGATAATTTTAATTAATGACTTCATAAACGTACTATAATTAAATAATTAACTATTATGTAACTTATGATTATGACTCTTTCAAATTTATTTTTATTTTCAATTGTGTAAGTTTTATGTTTTACTGAGGATGATTTGATGAAGATTGTAACGTTTGTATATTAAATGTTTATATCGCTTGAATTAAAGATAGATTAATTATTTTTATAGCAATTAACAACTAGCACACTTGTAGTTTTTTTTCTTTTATAATTTTACTTTTTAGAAAATATTATTTTTTGGTCACTCCTGAAGTTGTAAAAAAATGAAATACGTCTTAAAAATTCATCATTATCGAAAATCACTTGCAATTTATTATAAAACAAAATTCTTGTTGTATATTAAATCAAAAGAATAAAATATCATATTCGTCGTGTTTAAGATTGCCTTATTATATGGCGAAATTAATGAAACGTTGAAATACCTGGCGTTTATCTTCGCTCAGGTGATACACACGTTCTGCTTCAGTATACAAGGACAGAGATTGATTGACCACAGCTCACAATTAAGCAATAAAATGTAAGACTTTAATCACTTAAAATCGGTAAAATCGAAAATTGATTAACGACTGAGATTCAAAATCATTATAGATATAATTCTTCTTGGTATGAAGTTCCTACAGAATCACGAAGGCTGCTTCTGTTCATGATGCGAAGGAGCGTGCAACCCTGTTTTTTGAGCGCTGGCAAGATTTATGTCTTCTCTCTTAAGAGCTTTTCCACAGTAAATGTTATTTACGAAATTTATGTTATTTACGAAATTTATGTTACTATATGCTCCTATGAAGTTTCTTCTAAGAATACTGGCACTTATTTTAAAGGTTATGCAGTCTTCAGTGTCGTATTTTACTGTACTTGCATCCTTCCAATAATGAATGGTCAATATGAATTTGGATAGTACCTGTATAACCACAATTATATTATAGTAATGGAGATTGTGCAGTAGAAATAATATCTACATTATACATATTAATTATGCTAAAATTATATTACACACTGTTAAAACACCGTTATTAAATAAACTTTTAATCTAATTTTTTTAGTTAGACTTTATGAGAAGATATAAACAAAAATGAAAATGGAGAAATGGGTAAGAAATGGTATTTATTTTAAGTACTGAAATAAAGGATCTTTCAATAAGGACGCTCGATTTTTAAATGTAAATAAAACAAGTTGTGAGATATCCACTCAATTTTTTTTTTATTTGAAAGAATTTTATGGCATTAAGTATGGAATATATCGTCGCTCAAATGTCCGCCACGGCTTCGCTTGGTGACACGTATTCGGACGATCCAATTTTCGATGACTTTCTCGCATAAATCTGGCTGGAATTTGCTGGATAGCGTTTGTTATGTTGACTTTGAGAGCAATTATTTGCGGTTTATTTGTCTAGACCTGCGATTTAAGATAGCCCCAAAGGAAGAAGTCTAAAGGTGTTAAATCGCACGATCTCAGTGGCCAGTCACGTCGCCGCCGCGCGAGATAACCATGCCCTCAAATCGCTGGTGCAGAATGTCCATCGTGGCATGCGGTGTGTAGCACGTAGCACCATCCTGTTGGAACATGTTATCGATATCCATATCATCCATTTTAGACCACAAGAAGTTGCTTATCATCGATCTGTAGCGCTCGCCGTTGACGATTATGGCAACGCCCGCTTCGTTTTGGAAAAAGTACCGATGATTCCGCCAGACCAAAATCCGCACCAAACAATTCTCGGGATACATTTGGAACTGGTGTATCTTGCGTGGATTGATATCGTTCCAAATTCGACAATTTTGCTTGTTCACATATCCATTCATCCAAAAATGGGCCTCATTGCTAAAGATGATTTGTTTGGCGAAATTTGGATTAACTTTCAACTGCTCCAGAACCCAATCAGCGAACACACGGCGTTGTCGTTTACTTTAAATTCCTGGGTCAGTTGAATTTTATAGGAGTGCAGATCCAAGTTCCGACGCAAAATTCGCCAAGTTGAAATCGCAGAAAGGCCAAGTTCTTGTGAACGATGAGAAATTGACCGCCTCGGGTTTTCCTGTACACTCACACACAGCAGCGATGTTTTCAGCAGACCTTGCGTTTCGGCGACGTACTGATGTTGGCTGATTATTTATCGAACCGGTTGACTCGAATTTGGTCACCAAACGTCGAATAGTCGACTCGGCAGGACGGTTGTGGCGAGGATAAAAATCACGTAATGCACAGAACATTTCTCGAACGAAACACTGATTTTGATAATAAAATTTTATTATTTGCACACGTTGCTCAACATTGACCTTCCATGGTTTGTCATACACTACTAAACAATTCACAACAAATTTGACAGATGTCACTTTAACAATATGACTACTATGATCTAACAAATTTCGAGCGTCCCTATTGAAAGACTATACGTTTATTTTTCATTCGATTTAAAAAAAAAATATTAGGAAGGAAGATATTAGGCAGGAAATTGTTTTTTAATTATAGATTGGATTATATTTGCATCTAAAGTAATACATAATATTGTCGTTAGCGTGAATTTAAATCCTTAATTGATAAAATTCGATTTAATGTTAAGTCAAAATCATGCATTATCGGCTAGCATGTCATACAAGACAGAAATTAATCATGATGATGATGATGAAGAGTATACAATCGAATTTTTTTAAGCACTGATGAGATCTGTGTTTCTATACTGCCTGAGAAAGTCTTTACCATGTTAATACGCGGAATTATGGTGTTTGTCATAATATCTCTTTTACGAAACATAGCTCTTGTTTTGAAGATTTTGCAAACATAGATGTTGATTATATTTTACGGTGCTATTATTCATTTAGTAGCTCTTTATACATCTGATATTTCTCGGTAGCACTTATCGAAAAAAATAATATCATATGTCTTTAATTCTCCTAATACAATTAAACACTCCTAATTTCTTTGTTTATCGTTAATTTTTTATCAAAATTATGCATAAATTGACTGTTGTTATGCATATCTTGATCTCTTTAATATTTCGTTTAAACAATCTTGATAAGAAATGTAAAACATATTCTTATTTTTGAAATGTAAAACATATCTATATTTTTTCATTTATCTGAAATCCTTTTACCTTCACTGCTCTTTATTTAGTCTTTTTCAGGAATAAACTATAACTCTATACGAAAATAATTTAAACTAATAATTCAAAACATTCTATATTCTGATTATTATATATTATATTTTAGTTTATTATATTTTAGTTGAACAATGATAATGAAGTTAACCATATTGATTGTCTTAATTTTGGTTCGTTCAATTTTTGACTTGATATACCTTCTATTCATTTATATTTGCTACGCATATTATATAAACAAGAAATTGATATGAATTTTTAATTTTGATACTATTTTATTGGTTATAAAATGTCTAATGTTTTAATGTAACACTTTAAAATTTCTCTTAAAGTCCGTAGTTTGAATGTTATTTAAAACATTGGTTCCTCTAAATGTTTTCATCGTCTTGAAAATATTTACTTTTTATCATACTTTTAAGAAACATTAAATCCGATAAAGCCAGATCTGGTAATAAGATAAGTGGCTAATCTTAACAATTCTTTCATTGTTAAGACTCGGACTAAGAAAGAGGTTTTTAAGACTAGCCATTTATTTTAATCATCAGAACTGGCTCTTTCGAATTTCATGCTGTTCTCAAAGCGAAATCATTATAAAAATACTTTTTTATTGTTCAAAACTTCGAGGACATAAATTTGAGTGCTCTAGATAGCACTCCAACTACTTAAATTAAAAAAAGTTTCAACGTTTTATAATAGAGATATGTGATATATATTGATATCATAAACCTATTTTGAAAGACAAAATAATGTACAATAAACAAATTTAAGTGGCTAAAATTTAAAAATAATATTACAAAGAGAGCATACACCACTACGCAAAGTCTTATGAGCGAAACAATATATAAGGTCATGCGCTCGAAAATTTCCTTGTTCCAGTATCCGGAAATCCAAAATCTAAAAATGCTGATATAATTTCTGAGATTACAGAATGAAAAAAAATAATTCGTTACCTTCATGTACTCTCCGAATAATGGCAAACGCCCACACGATTGCCCGGCCGTGCACTCGAAAATTTCCTACGCTTGTCAGCAGCGAAGCTTTTTCGAGTGAATTTGATAATTATAATCACTGACTTTATCGCTGGCCGTTTTACAGGTTCCAAAAAAATTTCTCATAAAATTTTTAATGTAGATTTGAATATACATTTAATATACTAATTTTAAATTTTATGACATATAAAAAAGTTAATTAAAATACACACCGATGTGAACCTGGCGCTCAACTTTATCAAAAATTAATACTACAGGCCGTTTGTACTTCGTTTGTACTTGTTTGTACCGATCATTATTTCGTTTGTACCTCAAACAGTTAAACAAAAAGTGAAAAATAAAAAATGGCCAGCGCGCAACTTTAAAATTTTTTAATTTCGTTTATGCCATTCGAAAGAGAATCGTTTGTACCCATTTGTACCTCTCTTATTTTCGTTTGTACCTCAAAGGGTTCGGAGATACAGCGCGTTTCAGTTTTTGCGCAACCCCTACATAGCAAATTTAGCGAATTTTAAAGATATCGAAATGGGATCATCGGCATTCGAAAGAGAATCGTTTGTATCTCTCTTACTTTCGTTTGTACTTCAAAGGGTTCGGAGATACAGCGCGTTTCAGTTTTTGCGCAACCCCTACATAGCAAATTTAGCGAATTTTAAAAATATCGAAATGGGACCAACGGCATTCGAAAGAGAATCGTTTGTACCCGTTTGTACTTCTATTATTTTCGTTTGTACCTCAAAGGGTTCGGAGATACAGCGCGTTTCAGTTTTTGCGCAACCCCTACATAGCAAATTTAGCGAATTTTAAAAATATCGAAATGGGACCAACGGCATTCGAAAGAGAATCGTTTGTACCCGTTTGTACTTCTATTATTTTCGTTTGTACCTCAAAGGGTTCGGAGATACTATAGGTAGTTATCTTTAAAAATGACCGACTTACCCTCTTGACGCATTTATGAAATTTTGAAATCGCTGTATCTCCGAATCCTTTGAGCTACAAACGAAAATAAGAGAGATACAAACGGGTACAAACGATTCTCTTTCGAATGGCATAAATGAAATTAAAAAATTTTAAAGTTGCGCGCTGGCCATTTTTTATTTTTCACTTTTTAACTGTTTTGTTTAACTGTTTGAGGTACAAACGAAATAATGATCGGTACAAACAAGTACAAACAAAGTACAAACGGCCTGCAGTATTAATTTTTATTTTTGATAAAGTTGAGCGCCAGGTTCACATCGGTAAAATACACAGAGTACGGAAGATCGGAATCAGTAAACTATAGGGGTAAGTAGAATAATCGAGGCTACCTTATAAACATGAGACACGCGTAATTGTGTCTGAATACTCAGCGGCGACTGTCGCTCAATCTGTTGTGAGATCTCGGGACGGACGCGTCTGTATTAGAAATTACGCTACAATTTAAAAAAATCGTACACGTAAGTGAATATTTTTATTCTTAAAGTTTTTATATATAATTGTCTAAAGATATTTGATTTCCATTTATATAGTAAATGTAGTTCTTACTTAACAAAGTCCAACAGATTTTTTTTATTTATCTGTCTTTGTATCATATAATGTTCATATTTTTAAAAAATGAATGGATATATGACTAATTTAGTGACGATTCTGATAGTACCTACTCTTAAATTTCTTGGAATGAAATCTCACTATAAAAGAGTGAAAATACAGTCAATTTTGAAAAAGAGTGAAAATGTTTTACTTCTTGAAAAAGAATGACAATATTTCATACTTCTAAAGAGATTTAGTGGAAAATGTTATAAGTTTGGTT